TTTACTTCCTTTATCTTAACATAGTAACTACAAATAAGAGGAATAGAACACAAACTAAATGGAATATGGAATCATAAAAATCATAAATGGAAAAGACCTCTAAGGTCATCAAACCCATTCCCCTGCCATTTCATGATTGTCCCTTAGAGTATATTTTGTAGTGCTTTGCCTCGTCTAATTTAAGTATCTGAAATGATTGTGTTTCCGTCACTTCACTTACAAATAGAGGCTTCATCAAATGTCAGGAGAAATTACTCCTGCACTGTGTATCAGATTGGGTGTTTTTACACTTTTCTATTATTTAGTTCATCTCTGCCTGCCTTATTGTAAAATTAACAGTATAAAAAAAACTCAGATATTTCTAAAGCTCTTATCATTCCAATATTTAAGCACTGGAAGGAAGGGTAAGTATAATAGATTAAATATTATTATAACCTATAGATCCCAGTTAGGATCAGGGCCCAATTGTATTAGGTGCTGTACAGAGTAAAAGATGGTCTATGCCCTGAAGAGCTCACAATCCTATTAAAACAGGATACAATAAATGGGTATAACACAAATCTACAAGGATGGGATGACAAGGGAAACAATCATGAGAAAAAGCTCTCTGCATATAATCTACAATAATCACTTAAAATTCTGTTTTTCAAAACTTTCTTGCCCATAAGCTCATTTGCTGGAATATTACCAGCTAGTGAACATGAAAGAGTAGTGATTACTGTATAAATTATCAGAGGGGTAGCCATGTTAGTCTGGATCTGTAAAAGCTGACATGCATCCGACAAAGTGGGTATTCACCCACGAAAGCTCATGCTCCAATATGTCTGTTAGTCTATAAGGTGCCACAGGACTCTTTGCTGCTTTTACTGTACAAATGACATTGCTTAAAAGTTTAAACTAAATATTAACAAATTCTGTGTATCATTCATCCAGCTTTCTTTGTGGATTAATTAATTAAGGAACAGGCAAAAAATGCTTCAGTGGAGTAAGCTGCATGTTTATAATGAGTTACAAAATACTTACTTGTCCTGAAAAAGTTAATGTGGATAATGAATTAATTTGTGAATTAACTATCCAAATGGAATTTCTCTCTATCACCTAAAATAGGGGGTTGTCTACATGGAGATTTTTCTAGTTATACTGATAGAGTAATACATCTAGGGCTTGTCTGCACAGGGAAGTTATACTGGTATAAAAGTAGTGTGTGAATTTAAACTGATGTATACTGGTGTAACTCACCCAAGTGGACATTTATTCCAGTATAAAAGCCTTTTTTCAATTTTTGTTATGTCACTTTGGAAGTAGTTTGAGCTAAACTGAAAAAAAAAAGCCACTTTCACTGGAATAAGAGTGTCCACATAGGGAGTTATAGCCCTATAGCTATGCTGATAAATTTCCTCATGTAGACAAGCCCTCTTACTGTATAAGCCAGTACAGGGCTGGTAATTTCCTAAAAGAACTCTGATCACCTGGAAATGTTCTTTAAGATGAGGGTCTGCTTTAAGCATACCTGTGACCACAGGGGGACTCACTAATGATCTAGGCCTAAGCAGTGTGAACTTCCCTGTTCCAAACATAATGGCTATAGTGTCAAAAAGGCAACATCATGACATGATGGTGCAATTATTCATGATGCAATGTTATATCATGAAGACACAAACATTGCAATGTGACTGGTATTCTGGGGGACTCCCAAATCTTTACAGCAATGCTGTTGAAGTTCTACTGCATTTATTTTTAAATAGCACCCCTTTTCCTATTTTTGTTGCATTGTATGTCTCATACCACCCCCACCTAGCATGCTTTTGCCTTCTCCCTTCCCCATTTTTCCACATTATACTAAAATAATTAACTACAATCTGCATTTGCAGAGGTTCACTTTTTTTTGTCTGAATAAAAGCAGCTGTTAGCAATGCACAGATGTAAAAAACTGTGCTTAAGTTAACTGTTCTCTTTGAAAGGAGATGTACCATAAATGGCTACTTTATAAATGTTGATGCTTCCTTTTACATATCAAAGGCTGCACGTTATGCTATTAAACAAAAGGAGCCCTTTTAAACTGGTAACATAGAAATTTTGGCCAAAGTTTTCAAATTTGTCTGATGAAAGTTTTTATTGCTCTACTTAGGTTGCTTCTCTTTTAGGTTCCTACATGTGGATTTAGGAATTTAATTTTACGTCCTTGGTTTTGATAATGTTGATCACTGCTACACAACCTAGTATCGTGCTATATCATAACTCATTAATTGTATGGATGGGTTAAGGATCCCCTAGGAGAAAAATAGGTCTGAAGAGTCCTCCCCTTAGTCCACGAAAGCTTATGCTCTAATAAATTTGTTAGTCTCTAAGGTGCCACAAGTACTCCTGTTCTTTTTGCGGATACAGACTAACACGGCTGCTACTCTGAAACTTACCACACCTGACATTACTGACTTAATGCTCCACTCATTTGGGTGATACACAGCTACTACTACAATGTTTTCAGCCTGTTATGTAATTGCTGCATCTGTTAAACTCTAATTAGAGCTTTTCTTGTACAAGAAGAGCTAACATCTGTTTGCAGCTACTAATTAGTAACACCAACATTCTTGTCAAGATGGCATAGTCAGTCTGCATGCATGTGACCTTGTCTACATTAGCATTTGGGGGGAAATCTAACCAAATTGCAATAGCACTGGTGGGAGCATTAGTGTAGACATCTTAACATCTAGACAGTCTCTCATCTGAGTATGAATGCCTGTACTCTGTCTATGCTAATGCTCCCATATTGATACCACCAGTAGAGTTGCCTCAATGGGAGTACAATGAGGGAAGATTTCCCAAAAAGTGTTAATAGAAACACAGCCACAATAGGGTTTTTTCCTGTAATTATTACTGTAAAGCAGCCTAGAGGAAAAGATCCCCAAAAGATAGCTTTTCATACATTTTTGCTACTTTGTGGAGAATGCAAAAACTGCATGTACATGTGAGAGCCTCTATATGTGCATCCACCCTTATGAAAGAGCTCAGTAGCATTTAATTCAAAATTATAATGTTTCTACGTCATTTTAATGAAGGAAATAAGTCACTTACATTCTGTAAGAAGCTTTTCAAATGTCTTTAGAGAGACGATATCCTCTCTCTGGTCATTCTACAGGTTTTTAGAATAATTTCTATGGATCCCTATTTAATTTCTGTAAGACCCTATCTGTTTAATCCCTATCAAATTCTATATATCTTTTTCATAATAGCAATTATGACATATTTCTGAGCTTGTCCCTTTGCCACATCTGGAGAAAGAACAACTGGAATTTTGTTGCTCTCCGGGACCAATGCCTACAGCTAACAGAAAATTCTTTGGCATGTTTTAGTGACTTCTGCTGCAAGATACAGAAATAGCTGTGCCTGGTTAAGCCCTTGCAAAGTCTGCTGTTACTAACAGAATTCCAGGAAGCCTTTGGCTGTTCTAAGCACCATAAAATCATTCCTTCCAGCTATGGAAAATATCTAATCCTTTCAGGACATTTGATTACACAATATATGAGGACAATGGAATATCACAACAACATTGCGATCTTAAATATCTTGGTTCCAGTGCAACCCTCCTTATCCAAACAAAATTGCCTTTGGCTTGGGAAGGTTTTGTAAGATCTGCACATGGTCAGTGTTTGCTTAACAGCTAGTTCCATATCTACCCATTTTTTTCATGTCCTCTGTGTATATATATCTTCCTACTGTATTTTCCACTGCATGCATCCGATGAAGTGGGTTTTAGCCCATGAAAGCTTATGCTCAAATAAATGTGTTAGTCTCTAAGGTGCCACAAATACTCCTCGTTTTTTTTGCTGATACAAACTAACGGCTACCACTCTGAAACATGAATATATGAGAATCTCAGCTCTCTCTCTCTCTTCCCAACCATGTCCCCGTCCCTCCCCCCAGTGAGTTTCTAGGCCTTGGGATTGTGGAGAAAAACTTGAAAATGTGACCTGAGTATACCATAAAGGTTAAAAAAATAAAAAAAAGTAAATGAAAAAATAACACAAATGTATTTTTAAGCCACTCAGGTTTGGGAGGGCAGAGGGGCTGAATGATGATTTGTGAATGTTTGGTTGGGGTTTACCATACTGTATCTCAAACAGCAGGCTCAATCAAATAAATGAGAACAAACAAACAAAAAAGTAGGTAATACCTACAACAGGAATACAGGACTGTTTGAGTCCAGATCACTAGCACCGAAAGCTTAAGCCAATACCAGAAAATGCTGCACACAACTATTAACAAGTCTAATGTATGGAAACAAATGTGGGCATCATAGCAACCTGGAAAGATACATGACACATCCCTATGGTCATCAACTGTTTTACCAGGAATAACCCCTTGACTCTCTCTATACAGCTACAATGATGCATGCAAAATAACTTTGCCTTGACCTGCATGCCACATGCCTGCTGATGCAGCAAGAAATTGTGATAGACTGTGTGGTATCACACAGTCATACAGTGACAGTTTTTCTCACACATAGTGCTCAGTAATGATTCACATGCCACCATCCTCATTTGGCTCTCATCAAGGTGGGAATACTTCTGGGATAAATAATGTGCATTCATTTTATTCCCTGTTTCAGAATGTCTTCATGTTGAGAAGTGAACCTGTTGATGTTTCAACATCTTAACACATGAGGGTAGCATGTGGGATTCAAAAAGTACCAACAAGTTGGCAGCTCAAAACTGTGGACTGCATGCAGACATGGTCCAAAGAATTTCTAGTTAATGTTTTTAATTGCTATTATCCAGATTCTGGTCTTTATATTAGCAAATACATTTGTGGCTCTCGGGACAGGATCCCTATGTTTAAGGTGTGTTTGGTGCAGTTCAGGATAGGGTGCAAAGCTGATGTTAAGCCATTTTCATATCCCCTTCGATCGTGGGGCTAGGTACCTATGATAGGATAGTATAGGCTTGATCCTATGAGCTATTCTGCCAGCCAAATGCCACTGCACAGAGGTGCCCCAGTCATACCTCTTATTCCAGAAGGGTGATGGCATAGGAGCTGCTACTGCATCTCTTCACCACCTGAAGATTCCCCCAGGGAGGTGGGATTCTCAGGCAAGTAGATGAAACAGGTTTCTAGCTGTTCTGCACCACCAGAGCAGCTGGGGTAGGGGCCAGTATCTGGCACAACATGTCCATCCATCTCTAGTGGCCAATTCTGCAATGGACCCCAGATCCTCCCTAAGAATCTGAAGAGATTTTTCCCCTGCAGGAGGATCCTCATGGTTACACAATAACCTCTGGTAATTTAAATCCTATGTTAATGAATGACAGCATATGGGAAAGGAGAATTGAAGGGGTTAAAGTTATTGGTTGAGTATTGTCAACCTTTTCTGAGTTTTTATAAAGCATCAGATATTAACTATGGACTTTTTATTTTTAAGTGAATCTCCTTCTACTGCATGATTGACTAGCCTGGACATTAAAGTAATCTGTTGATTAAAAGACTAGTTATAGCATGGACCTGAGAGCACTACCTTCCCATGATTGTCTTGCCATTCTGCCACTGCTGTCTTGGTGATTACTATGCAGTGGGTACTTGTCCACTAGAATTTGGTCTTCAGCCACCAAACTTGTCTCTCATTTAGTATAAACAGCCATCAGATAGCAATTGCTTTCAGTCCCAGAGTTGAACTGGTGAAATAACTATGAGCTGTTTCAGAATAGGCTATAATACCTCCAAAGATACAAATGTATCTAAATGCTTTTCAAAGCAGGAACTTATTCAAAATAATGGTTCTTTTGTTATAACTATTATGTAAATCTGTATATAAAGAATTTCTGAGGTCAAATGGTATTTATGGTAATTGACAATAGACCACAGTGACCCTGAAGCAGTTGATATAGTCAATCTCTATTCAGTGTCAAATTAGGAAGGCCAAAAAAGAATTTGAAGAACAGCTAGCCAAAGACTCAAAAAGTAATAGCAAAAAAAAATTTAAGTACATCAGAAGCAGGAAGTCTGAAGGATAGGAAACAAATGGTAGGAACAAATGGTCAGTTTTCAGAATGGAGAGAGATAAATAGTGGTGTCCCCCAGGGGGCTGTACTGGGACCAGTCCTTTTCACCATATTCATAAATGATCTGGAGAAAGGGGTAAACAGTGAGGTGGCAAAATTTGCAGAAACAAAACTACTCAAAATAGTTAAGTCCCAGGCAGACTGTGAAGAGCTACAAAAGGATCTCTCAAAATTGGGTGACTGGGCAACAAAATGGCAGATGAAATTCAGTGTTGATAAATGCAAAGTAATGCACATTGGAAAACATAATCCCAACTATACATATAAAATGATGGCATCTAAATTAGCTGTTACCACACAAGAAAGAGATCTTGGAGTCATTGTGGATAGTTCTCTGAAAATATCCACCCAATGTGCAGCGGCAGTCGAAAAAGCAAACAGAATGTTGGGCATCATTAAGAAAGGGATAGATAATAATTGGAAAAGGTTCAAAAACGGGCAACAAAAATGATTAGGGCTACAGAATGGCTTCCGTATGAGGAGAGATTAATAAGACTGGGACTTTTCAGGTTGGAAAAGAGAAGACTAAAGGGGAGATATGATTGAGATCTATAAAATCATCACTGGTGTGGAGAAAGTAAATAAGGAAGTGTTATTACTCCTTCTCATAAAGCAAGAACTAAGGGTGACCAAATGAAAGGTAGCAGGTTTAAAACAAACAAAAGGAAGTATTTCTTCACACAACGCAGTCAACCTGTGGAACTCTTTGCCAGAGGATGTTGTGAAGGCCAAAACTATAACAGAGTTCAAAAAAGAACTAGATAAATTCATGGAGGATAGGTCCATCAATGGCTATTAGCCAGATGGGCAGTGATGGTGTCCCTAGCCTCTGTTTGCCAGAAGCTGGGAATGAGCGACAGGGAAAGGATCACTTGGTGATTACCTGTTCTATTCATTCCCTCTGGGGCACTTGGCATTGGCCACTGTTGGAAGACAGGATACTGGGCTAGATAGACCTTTGGTCTGACCCAGTATGGCTGCTCTTATGTTCTTATGATACTTGTATGTCAAGTCTCGGCCTGAAACGTGTTTTAATTACCTAGATCAAAAAACTGTTTGCTGTTTTTTCTCCTGCGCGGCCCTTGATCTATATGCACTTATAGTTTATTCCTCATTCACACTCACATTCATGCCCATAAACACGGTTGCAAATAGATTTTCATTGGAAAATGCCAATTAATACAACCCGAAGTGTTTCGTGGAAACCATTGTAATGAATTTTAGACAAATGACAGTTCCCTTGCAAACCAGTCAGGTTCCCTGCCAGCTTGCCTTGATTCTGAAGCCTGCACTCTGGGGCTTCCATACTCCCTGCCACAGAGCTAGAGTTCTAATGGCTGATAACCAGACCTCCAAGGCCCCCCCCCCCCTCTCTGCCTCTTCCCTTGAGGCCCCACCCCTGCTCTGCCTCTCCTCCCGAAGGCCCTGCCCCCATTGCTCGTAGGGTCTTCACCAGCGTGGCCGAGGCTGCCTTGCCTGTGACCTGTGGGCTGCACAGGGTCATGCACTGCCACAAGCTGCATGAGCAGCCTGTCCCTAGAGGCAGCGACTGCTGCTGCGCTGCCTCCTTCCTTCCACTTAAGGTTGTCAAATTTTCCACAGATTAAAAAAAACAAACAACAGCTATCAGGGCTTGTCAAATGGCACCTGGATATGCAAGCAGAAACCCAGACTGTTCCAGAGCTGGGAACCTGGCAGCCTTGGCTCAAGCTGTGGTTCTCAGGGTCTGTAATCTCCTAGCACCATAGCAGGGAGCCTGGAAGCCCTGAGACCCTCAACTAGAGCTGGGCCTCTCAGGCCTTCTGGGCTCCTTGCCACTGACCCAGAAGCCTGGAAAACTCCAGTTGGCCCCACAGGCTGTGGGAGTCACACAGCTAAGGGAGTTAGCAGGCACAGGAAGGTGGTAGCCTTAGGGTACATGGCCCCAGAGTAGTCCTCATAACAGAGCTCCTTTAGAGCCCCAGACCCACCTCCCAACAGTTAAACTGAAGCTGCAAGGGATCATATTTTGTGTCAGAAACACCATGTTTAGGTATCTAAAATGAAACTTTTTAGACCCTTGGATTTACGACAAGTTTCAAAATTTCCTGCAAAGATTAATTTAAGTTTTGGCCAGCTCCATAATAGACCAACAAATTCCCAAGCAGAGGTACCAAGGAATGCCACACTACTGATGATCACGTGTAGCCTAAGGGGAGTGATACAATTGCCAGTGATGGAAATACACTGAGTACCGAGCCAGATCACCTTAAGGAGCCTAGGCAGAGGTCGATCTCAGTGGCACTCAATCTATAAAGTGGCTGGATTCTCTTGGCATTTGCCATGATCATGGGTTATGACAGACTGAAAAGGTCTGTCTCTATTTGAAAAGAAGAAATAAAGAAGCTCCCCTGCCACTTTGCTAACCTTGTACTTTTGAGCACTGTAGAAAACCTACAGGACTCTACCTCCCATTATTATTTATCACTTGTATTACAGTATTGACTCGGTCCCATTGTGCTAGGCACTCTACAAACAGATTAATAGACAGTCTTGCCCCAAAGAGTTTACAATCCCAGGGGCTTGTCTACACTTACAGCACTGCAGTGGCATAGCTGCAATGCTACAGCTGCAGCGCTGAGTGAAGACACTACCTAGGCTGACAGGAGAGCTTCTTCTACCGTGTAAGCACTCCACCTCCCCAAGAGATAGTAGCTATGTTGATGGGAGAAGCCCTCTCATCAACATAGCACTGTCTACATCGGGAGTTCAGCGAGTATAACAGCGTTGCCCAGGTGTGTGGACTTTCTAAAATAAAAGGTAAGAGAAGGGAATATAGTATATAAGCAGAGAGAGAATAAAATGATGGTTTGAAAGTCTCATATTTGCATTAGTAAGCATGGCATCTACATGGATGATTTCCATTAAAGGTGGCAGGTCTGAGTGTCTTGATTAGCCAGCTTGGTTAATGGGGAATTTAGCTTTGCAGTTCGCCTAACCTTTGAGCATTTAAAAATGAATTAGAACCCTGATGTTGTGTTACACATGGGAGCAGAGTCTGTTGCCCTAGCTCATACGAGGGGAGTAGCACCTTACTCCATGAGTAATTTCATTCCTTTCATTGAAATTATTGGAAGAGTGGGATACTATTCAACATTAGTAAGTATGGCAGAATCTGGCCCACAAAGTGCAGGTATGGAATACTCTGCTGCTCAGTCGTTTTATTGTAATGGAAGTGCTACATTTTGTCACACATTCCTATAGACTATGAATCCAGCTGCCCTCCATTTGAGTTCAGATTCCTATGCTATTCACAGCATTAACAGCTTAGCTGGAGTCCTGTCATCTAACCTACCAGGTGTTCCAACAGAGTAGCAGTTCAAAAGAGAAAAAAATATTTCTGTCACTCACTCAGTAACACAATCCTGAAACAAGCTGTGTTATACAATGGGCACTGTTCAGATCTCTCTGTTTCATTGTAGGGGACAACACTGAATACTTGCAAGTCACATGGAAGTCATGTTCCAGTTATTCTTTGACAAGTGCAGATTACTGTTTCCCTAAGCCAAGTTATGACATCAGTGGCACCTGCCAGAAATTATAGTGCAGCTCAAATGTGGCATTCGGAGTTGGTGCCCTGTAGCTGTTTGGTCATTCCAGTTCATGTGTCACAGACTTCATAAAACGAGACTGTGGGTTCTTCCCCCCCGCTACTGAACTGATTCAAAATAGCTCATGCCACCAGTCCCAAATAAAAATGAGTGACAGATGAAGAGATCTCAGTGGTTACTCCCACTGCCCACAGTGAGTCTTATACAAAAGAAGAACCTAGAGGTTAAAATTGACAGTATTCAATAATCCCACAAGAGAATCCATGTTTTGGCAGAAGAGGAAGCTACCATATTATAAAAGTAAGCTTTGATAATTTGATAGAGTACATTATTTTGTATAGAGTACAATATGATTTTTTCTTCATATTTTGATTTATTTATTACACAACTGGATATATAAGCAAGTGCCATTTGCCTTTTTAGATACTGAGAAGTTTAATATTACTTTTTTTCCCTTTTCTAGGTTTGATTTTTTTAAATTATTTTATTGGAATATAATCAGACTCTGCTCAATTGATAAAATCTCAGATGTACTCTCCGTCTAATTTGTTCTTCTCACTTATATTAATTCCATCTCT